AAACAGATCTTAGCTGGGTGTGGTGGCGCATGCCTTTAATCCCAGCACTCGGGAGGCAGAGGCAGATGGATCTCTGTGAGTTCCAGGACAGCTGGGGCTACAGGTGAGACCCTGTCTCAAAAAGACCAAAAAAAATTATTTTTAAAAAAAAAAAGATCTGCAAGATATGTTGTAAACTGCTTCAATTAGAATGTTGAAATAAGGTCACTTTCACCTGTAACCACTGCCCAGGAAATGGAGTTTATGACCCTCTACCAGGTTGGTTTTTTTCTTATTTTTAAGAATGACATACATGAGTATTATATTTGCATTACTTCCCTCTCTCCTAGTCCACCTCCAATTCCCCTCATGCCCAGTCCCCAAGGTTTTAAAGTTAGCACAAAATAAAAACACCACCTAATTTCTCCAGCACAGCCAACCTCTTAACATTGCAACACAATACAATGTCAGCCATCTCCAAAGTTCACTCTCCACAAAGCTCATGCTCCAAGAAACAGAGTTAGCCTCAACCTTTAGGCTAGATCCCACAAGATCCCATAGCCTGAATCAGGAGGACTGCTCTAGAGATTGCTCTGAAGGGTGCTCTCTGAAGAGGCTCCTCTGGTGCCATGCCATATCATATTCCCTCATGGGCTCTTCTTTTTTCACTTTTTCTTCTCCTCCTCCTCTTCCTTCTCCTCTCTCTCTCCCTCCCTCTCATTCTGTTTTTTGTTGTTTTTTTTTTTAATGTATGAGTGTTTTGTCTGCCTGTAAGTGCATCATGTTGATGCAGTGCCTACAGAGGCCAGAAGAGGGTGTTGGATCCCTTGGAACTGGATGCATGTTAGCCACCATGTGGGTGCTGGAAACCAAACCTGGGTCCTTTGCAAGAGCAGCAAGTGCTCTTAACTGCTGAGACATCTCTCCAGACCCTTTAACTCACTCTTAAACTCCTCCCTAGGTTTTAAAGGGAAGCCTCTTCTTCCCTTTAAGCCCCCATCATGCTTAATCTCTATATATCTCTCTCTCTCTCTCTCTCTCTCTCTCTCTCTCTCTCTCTCTCATCATGAAGCCCTGGGTGACTTGGAACTTACTATGTAGGCCAAGTTAGTTTCAGACTCAGAGAAATCCACCTGCCTGCCTCTGCCTCCATAGTGCTGGGATCAAAAGTGTGTGCCACCACACTCAGTTTATATTGTATTATTTCTGTGCGATGCCCTTCCACTTCACTTCAAGGCCCAATCATGACCTTGACGCCCATTCATTCTAACAAACTTCATACTTGAAGGGAATTAAGAATTATGTGCCATAGGGCTGGAAAGATGGCTCAGAGGTTAACAGCACTGATTGTAGAGGATCCAGATTTGATTCCCAGCACTCATGTGGCAGTTAACAACCCTCTGTAACTCTGGTTCCAAGGGAATCCAATGCCCTCCTCTGGCACTGCACGACTCGGGTGCACTTACTACATGCAGGCAAAACATACACAAGAATTTTTTTTTAATGTGTCAGCGGGTGTGGCAGCACACGCCTTTAATCCCAGCATTTAAGGCAGAGCCAGGCCAATCTCTGTGAGTTCAAGGCCAGCCTGGTCTACATAGAGAGTTCCAGGCTAGCTGGGGCTACAGGGAGACCCTGTCTCAAAAAGGACCAAAACAAAAAGTTCTAAAAAAAGTTGTTACCCAACCACCTAAATACCTGTAAAAGATGTCTGACTGCCCCTACTTTCTGTTGCTTCTCTGGTCCCCCGAGGGGTATGTTTGCTCTCAAACTGCTGTGCCTCTCCACCCCCCAAAATACAAAAGCTATGTCGTCAGCTTCCTTTCCGGACTGCTACTGTTCTTTTATTATACCTAACCACAGACACAAATTACGGAAAGAAAAAAAGAAAACCCTCAAAACCCTCGTGTTTTATGTTACTGTGTTAGGTCATATTCACAGCGTTCATGGGATCTGCGCAGCGCTGGACATGCCCACTCCAAGTACGACGCATTCCAGGTACCCTGCACTACATGCTCATGCTGCCACGTGGAAAGGCGAGGTGTTGGAATTATCCCTAGGGCTCTTTCACTCACACAGCAACAAATCTTTCTGAACATCGGCTACGTGTCCTCATTTTCTACACCCTAGCCAGGCATTCACACTTCGATGTAGAAAAGGAGCCACAATTGCTCATTACCTCACTCGGCCTGCCAGAGTCTGGAGAACCAGGTTCCCTTAGAGCGTGGCAGAGCGCCAACAGCACAGGACACTCCTGATTGGCCTGCGCCACTTCCTGGACACAGTTCGGACTGCGGCCGGTCTTCACCCCGCTCACAGGGTGTGACCAGAGCGCGCCCCACTGGAAAGAGGTCTTCGCCGTCAAGACTGACCATACCCCAGGGAATCTCTTTTGGCTTTTGAAAGTCCCCGGAGTGGGGCCACGAAGAGAGCCAAAGACCGCCGTGAACAACCCAAAACGCCCGGAGAAGCACAGGCCGGCCGGAAACGGAACCGAGTGTAGCCGGAAGGAGCTGAGCCCGCCCGAAGGGAGCTGAACGCTGCTAGGCTTCGGGCTCAACGCAGTCCACGCCATGGCGGCGGAGGGGACAGGTGTGGCCGGAGGTGGGGCTGTCGGTGGCTGCCTGATCAAGGACGGTTTGCAGCAACCTAAGTGCCCAGCCGCCGTCCCCAGCCGGCGGCGCACCTCATCGCTCTCGCGTGACGCCGAGCGCCGAGCCTATCAGTGGTGCCGGGAGTACCTGGGCGGGGCCTGGCGTCGAGTGAGGCCGGAGGAGCTGAGGGTTTGCCCCGTGAGGTCAGGGGTCAGCCCCTCCTGGGTGCGGGTCTGGGGTCAGCCTCGGGGCCTCAGACACTCCCTGTTTCTACACCCCCAGTCCTCTCGCTTGCGGCGGAAGAAGGGTTGTCTGCGGACTGCAGCAGCGGGGCGGGGGTGGTGGTGGTGAAGGGGGCGGGAGGGGTGCGGAACCCTCTTGGGAGGGGACTAGGGTGGGTCCCACCCATCCGGGCGATCACCAGCTGAGCGCGCCGGTTGTGGGTCTGCAGCGGAGGCCTCAGCAACCTGCTCTTCCGCTGCTCGCTGCCAGATCATCTGCCCAGCGTTGGCGAGGAGCCCCGCGAGGTGTTGCTACGACTGTATGGGGCCATCCTGCAGGTGAGGGGGAGTAAGGGCCGCAACTTGCAGTGACTTTTGGACTTCTGGAGCAAATGGTACAGAAAGTGTCACCATTGTGCAGCTTAAGTACACTGATACTCATAGTCTCAATGACTAATATCTTATATAGCTTATGCTCCAGAACCCCCAGGCAGTAAGACCAGAAGTCCTAGCTATGATGGATGGAGAAAATAGACCCTTGTGTACCTGTGTCCACTTATTTCTGGCTCTTCCTGACTTGGGCCCCTTTGCTATCCATCTTCCTTCAGGGTGTAGACTCCTTGGTCCTAGAAAGCGTGATGTTTGCCATTCTTGCAGAGAGGTCACTAGGGCCCCAACTTTATGGAGTCTTTCCAGAGGGTCGCCTGGAACAGTACCTCCCAGTAAGAGCCCAGTCCTCTTCCCAGTCCCTACCCTTTCCTCAATGTCTGCCTTCACATCCCACATAGAGAATTTTCCCTAAGACCTTGATCTCCCCCATCCTCCATCCCTTCCCCCTCCTGCCCCAGCCCCCTCAGCACCCTGATAGGTTCCTGGGTACAGAGCCGGCCATTGAAAACTCACGAGCTTCGAGAGCCAGTGTTGTCAGCAGCCATTGCAACAAAGATGGCCCGCTTCCATGGTATGGAGATGCCTTTCACCAAGGAGCCCCACTGGTTGTTTGGGACCATGGAGCGGTGAGTGAGTCAGGTTCCGGACCCATGCACCTGAACTGAACCTGGGTCTGTCCAGGCCTGTGGTTGAGTGGATTAGGTTTCCCAGTGTCTATCATGGACTCTGTGTTTCCCAGTGAAGTCACAGTAGTAGGAAAATCTGGCCTGAGAGTAGATAAGAGAGGGAGTGAGGAAAGATAGAGTGAATGTAACTAATTTTGGGAGATTGCAGGTACCTAAAGCAGATAGAAGACCTGCCTTCCACTGGCCTCCCTCAGATGAACCTGCTGGAGATGTACAGCTTGAAGGATGAGATGGCCAACCTCAGGTAAAGGCAGGTGGGATAGTTGGCACTAGGCTCTTAGCAGTGTCTTCCCTAGGATTTGTTGAGAAGTGGAGTCAGGATCTAGCCTGTGAGGGTGGCCTTAGAATCTACATTCCTCTACCCCTACAGGAAGTTACTAGATGCTACTCCATCACCGGTAGTCTTCTGCCACAATGACATCCAGGAAGGTATGAGAAAGCATTTGAGTCTTCCAGCCAAAGCTGAAGGGGGCAGAGGGCCCTGAAGTGACCAGAATCCCACCCTACTTTCTCAGGGAACATCTTACTGCTCTCAGAGCCAGAAAATGATGATAGCCTCATGTTGGTTGATTTTGAGTACAGCAGTTACAACTACAGGTGAGGGTGAGAGAGTGAGAGTTCCTCCTATAGGACTGTTCCCAAGGAGCCCTAGAAAAACAGACCAGGCCTTCATCTCTGCATCCTAGCTGCCCACAGTATCAGGGGACTGACCATTACCCTGTTCCTCCAGGGGCTTTGACATTGGGAACCATTTTTGTGAGTGGGTTTATGATTATACTCATGAGGAATGGCCTTTCTACAAAGCACAACCCACAGACTACCCCACTCGAGGACAGCAGGTATGTAGGCAGGACCTCATCCCGTGAAAGGAAGAAATGACCAGAGAAGGTAGTATTCCACAATCTTCCCAGTTCCTGAATCTTGTCCATTGATTCCAGCTCCATTTTATTCGCCATTACCTGGAGGAGGTGCAGAAAGGTGAGATCCTCTCTCTTGAGAAACAGAAGAAACTGGAAGAAGATTTGCTGGTAGAGGTCAACCGGTAAGAAGACACGGGATGGGAGTGAGGGAGGACATAGAGCAGGTGAGGTGCCAGCGTAGACTGCTCAAAGATGGAAAATGAAGTCAGGCTAGCAGGGAGAATTTGAGAGCAGAAAGAGTCACAGTTAGGTAAGGGTTAGGAAGATGGGGAAGAAGTTTGCGCTTTGGGAACTGACCTGGTGAGGGGATTCAGACAACACCTAAATGTGCTCTTGAGTGCACCTCCTTTTTCTGTCCCCTCCCCCCATTCCCTAGGTATGCTTTAGCATCTCATTTCTTCTGGGGTCTGTGGTCCATCCTCCAGGCATCCATGTCCACCATAGAATTTGGCTACTTGGTAAGTAACCCATAGGGTGGGCATGTTAGGTGGAGACTAGGGAGTAGCAGTGGTCACATCCTCCAGGAAATCTAGGTAGTCCCAGGTGGCTGTCAGCAGGCCATAGTGGGTATAGGGTGCTGCTTCCAAGCCTTCTCACTGCTTTGCATCATGGGGTTCCTTCCCTAGGAGTATGCCCAATCTCGGTTCCAGTTCTACTTCCAGCAGAAGGGGCAGCTGACCAATTTCTACCCATTATCCTGACCATCCAACTCCCATGCCTCAGATTTCTTCTGGAGCCTCCAGGGCAGGACCTTGGAGGGAGGGGCAAAGGGCAAGAGATCCCACAGACTGAACTGTGCTCCTAAGCAAGACTGTTTTTGAAGTGACTGACCTCTCTCCCTCAGTTTGAGTAGTTGTCCAAGGTGGGCAGGTGGGAATCCCTGAGCTGTATACATAAATAAAAGGAATTTCTTCAAAAATACAAGCTGAGAGATACAGATTGGAGCACCACTCTCTTCTTCAGTGTTCTGGGCTGAAAAGTGATGAAGGGTCCATTCCACTTATTGTGATTCCCCTTTCCCATGTTCACTGGCTCCAGCTTAGAAGTAATAAATATGGAAGTCTTGGGCTTAGAACTAACAAATACTACTTGGTGTTGGGGGGAGAGCTGGAGAGGGATGGGTCAACAGGGAGGATGTGGTTGCCAACCCTGAGCACTGAAATCAGCAGGCTACACAGCTGACTCCCTGGTGACCTTTTCCCTACATTCAGCTATTTTTAGCATGCTCACGTGAGACCCTTCCCTCCTACTCCCAGCTCCCAGACCTTCCAGCAACTTTCAGCAGGCTGGCTGGAACCCTGCCCACCTCTCCTGATTCCCAGTGGGAAGAGGAGGGGGTTCAGGTTTCTACCGCCCCCATATATTTTCTCCACCCCAATTTGGGAGTGGGTGTCAAATTCCCAATGAGGGCGGGGTAGGGCGGAGCAGGGGTGGCCAGGCCTGAAGGACACGGGGACATGGGCCAGAGTGGCCAGACACATAGACCTACAGGAGCGAACCTGTACTGTGAGTAGAGACCAGCACCGGGAGGCCAGCCGGACTCAGAGCCATCCCACCCCATAGCGCCTCAACTCCCATCCCAGCAAGGATGTGGTGTTGGGGTCGCCTGAGGGCGCCGGAACCTTGAACCTCGCTTCTGTCCAGGCCCACTCCCTTCCCTTGGGTGTCTCTTCCCCACCCCAAGCCACCCTTCGCTGTCCTTGGGGCGACTGGAGCTTTTAAGATCCTGACTCCTGGATCATTGCTGCTAGGCCTGTCCGGAACCCACGAGGGTTTGGCTGCGGCGGCAGCGGTTGGCTAGGCTTGGGAGGGCCAGGCAGGAGCCCGGGCGAGTTTCGGGAGGTGGCTTTAGGGGAGGGAGGGAGGGAGCGAAGTGGGGGGCAGAGCCTCACATAGGGGTGGGCTGGCTGGGGCGGGGCTGGGCACTCTATGCACCATCCTGCCCAACTTTACTCCTAGGTGCCACCCAACCTCCAGGATGGCGGAAGCACACCAGGCGGTAGCCTTCCAGTTCACTGTGACCCCAGACGGGGTTGACTTCCGGCTCAGTCGGGAGGCCCTGAAACACATCTACCAGTCAGGAATCAATTCCTGGAAGAAACGCCTGATTCGCCTCAAGGTGTGGGCACAAGTGGTTCCTAGCTTCTGCCTCAGCAGGTGCTTAGGCAGAGCAGCCAGCTGTCAGCTGTTGGTCAGGTTGTCTGGGGGTCTCTGTTTTGGACAGCAATGCTGCTGGGTTCAGGCTTCAGTAGTGCAGAAATCGGAGGGGTGATCAAGATGTGGCAGGACATAGTGAATAACAGAGTGTATGTCTGAGTGTATGGAAGAAGACTAAGAAAAGCACAGGAGCCCTTTCTCGGGACTTCATAGGTACCTGATTACATCTTCCTACTTAAGAATGCCCTTTTCTGCCCCCACAGAATGGCATCCTTAGGGGTGTGTACCCTGGCAGCCCCACCAGCTGGCTAGCTGTCATCATGGCAACAGTGGGTTCCTCCTACTGCAAGGTGGACATCTCCATGGGACTGGTCTGTTATATCCAGCAATGCCTCCCTGAGAGGTAAGGTGCCTAGAAAGCACAAGTGTCAGGGAAAAGGGCCAGGACAGCTCCCAAGGCAAGGATTCCTTGCAGATATAGGCAGATATAGGAGAGCAGCTATTGGTAGCCACAAAGGCAGCTCTCGCCCAGGGCTATCATCTCTCGGTCCCAAGGCAGTTTGTATTTGATGGACTCAGACCTGAGTGTACTGGGAAAGATCCTTGCCCCTCCATGTCTTCCCCCAAACAGTCCATAGTCATCAGCTGAAGTCAGAATTTCACCAAGGATGGTCTCCAAGGGATTTCCTGAAGCTTTCTTCCTCAATAGGTATGGCCCCTATGGGACCCCACAGACGCAGGCACTTCTCAGCATGGTTGTCTTCTCCACGGGGGTCTGGGTGACAGGCATCTTCTTATTCCGACAAACCCTGAAGATGCTGCTTTCCTACCACGGATGGATGTTTGAGATGCACAGCAAGACCAGCCGTAGCACCAAGATATGGGCTGTGAGCAGAAACACTGGAGGGTGCAGGCATCTGGTTTGAGATCCTGGTGGCCTCGTTTGGGGTTCTGAGCAAGAAGGGAGAGGCAAAATGGGCACTGGTATCTGGTGCATGGTTTGTCCTGAAGAGGGTGGGATGGTTCTGAAGGTCTTGGTCATTTTCCAGTTGTGTCCATTCTTCCTGCTAGCTCCCACCAACACTGTGCTCTCTGTACCTCTAGATCTGTGTTCGCCTTCTGTCCAGTCGACGTCCCATGCTCTACAGCTTCCAGACATCTTTGCCTAAGCTTCCTGTACCCAGTGTGCCGGCTACAATTCATCGGGTAAGGGCCTGGGTACCAATGGGTACAAGGAGTCTGGATTCAGAGGACTACTTCAAACATAAAAGACTGTTTTGTATAAATAGTTGGCTTCAGCGTAATGTGATCTAGTTGAGGAAAGGTGGAAAGAAAGTTAAGCACCATAGTAATAATAATTTGGCTGGACAGTACCTGGATTCTGTGCGGCCCTTATTGGATGATGAAGAATATTACCGCATGGAGACACTGGCCAAAGAATTCCAGGACAAGACTGCCCCCAGGCTGCAGAAATACCTGGTCCTCAAGTCATGGTGGGCAACTAACTATGTAAGTTTGCCTTCCTAAGCTCATCCTTACCCACATGTCTTATATATCTCCTCCCTAGCTCTAACCTCTAACCCATCCATAGGTAAGTGACTGGTGGGAAGAATACGTCTACCTCCGAAGCAGGAGCCCCCTCATGGTGAACAGCAACTATTATGCCATGGTAAGAACCAGAGCCTCCTAGGGCTCCTGTGTGCCCAGCGCTGTCCCCAGCTCTGGAACAAGGATGTAGAGGACAGCCCAGAGCCCTTGCAGCAGTTTCCATGGGTGAGTGGGGGTTATGGAATGAAGCCTGAGGGAAAGAAAAAGGGAGGGAAGATCCTGGAGGAGCAGTCTAGAAGCAGCTTATAGTTGGTGAGGATCCTGAGGACAAAGAATTCTGAGTGCCCTTGAATTTCTCAGGCTAAGCTGGCCATTGCTTCCTAACTCCATTTCCTCACTGGCCTCTCAGTCATGAATTTTCAGCTGTCCTGACACCATTTCCAGAGAACTTTCCAAAACATACCTCGATTATGTCCCTTTGTGGAGCCAGACCACAAGATGAATGTCAGGCTTCTCATAGCACTGAGGAAGTCACTGTCTACCTCACTTCATATGATTAGTGTCCCCAACATATATCTCTGGACAAGTAGCTGGTCTCCCTGCTCCCCAGTACCCAATCTCTCCTACTGTTCAAAGCACACCCTGATAGCCCCTTGGAATTCCCTTCCTCTACAAACTGCCCACCAACTTACAACCTGTCCAAACCAGAGGTTTTAAGCTTTTTTTTTTCTTTAGTGATAGAACCCCTTTAAAGGAAAATGTGATTGAGCAGAACAGCTCTGATTGAAGCTAAAGCTCAGAGAGGGGATGCAATACCTTAAGCCCCTAAAAAGTTGGTTCTCAAGCTAGTGAGACCCAGGTAACACCCAGAGAGAGGTGCCCACCCTGCAGGCTCTGCTCTCTGTCTGTAGGATTTTGTGCTTATCAAGAACACAGATGTGCAGGCAGCACGTCTGGGAAATGCTGTTCATGCCATGATCATGTATCGCCGCAAACTAGACCGTGAAGAAATCAAGCCTGTGAGTTGCATCAGGATTGAGGGTGGAGTAGGGTGAGGAGGCCTGAATCTGAGCCATACTGGGCCTTTCTCCCAGGTAATGGCACTAGGCATGGTGCCCATGTGCTCCTACCAGATGGAGAGGATGTTCAATACCACACGCATCCCGGGCAAGGAGACAGGTACTGGGCCCAGTCAGGTATTCATCAAAAAGAGGCCCTACCCTCCCAGCTGTGGGCCACTGCAGCTAGGTGCCCAATTACCTACTTGTCACTAAGCGCCTTAGTGTGTCAGGATCATGAACTTGTGAAAAGTAGTCAGTTTGTGACATATTAGATGGTTATTATTTACAGGCATGGCCTTTAATGGGATCCAGAACAGAGACTTTGCTTCCAGGGCCTCCAAGTGTCTGGGGAGGTAGTTATATGAGGAAAGAGCAATGAGAACACTAGGGTAGTGGACGAAGGAAAAGGCAACCCATTGCTGATAGAGCCTATAGAGGAAATAGAAGGGACTTGCTCAAGGTTTAGTTGATGCAGCAGTGTCTCCTGTTTCTGACACTGCTGCCTCAGTTTGCAAGATTTTCTAGCATATTGATTTCCTCTTCTATGGAATACCTCAGAGCACTGTTGTGAGAGGTAGTGGATGGACCCAGCACAGGGACTGGCTTAGTACAGAGATCTACCCCTGGAGGAAGGAGGGCTCAGAGCAGAGGTGGGGCAAAGCAAAATCTTCAGGGGTCACCTAGTGTGTTAAAGGTGGGCTTGAGTGGGGAGACAGGTATTCTCTGAGACCCTGACTCGGCTCTTCACTGGCTTCTGTCACAGATGTGCTACAGCACCTCTCAGACAGTAGGCATGTGGCTGTTTACCACAAGGGCCGCTTCTTCAAGGTGTGGCTCTATGAAGGCTCCCGCCTACTCAAGCCTCGGGACCTGGAGATGCAGTTCCAAAGGATCCTGGATGACTCTTCCCTACCGCAGCCTGGGGAAGAGAAACTGGCTGCCCTCACTGCAGGGGGAAGGTACCTGGAGCTGTGGGGAGGGCTTGTCCAGGCCCAGGTTCAAGGAACCATGAAAAGAAAAGCTTGACTTTGCCTCTCACCCTAGAACTGGAGGGCCAGAGGTGCAGTCAAGGGCAAGACTGTAATACATAGTAAAGGGCACTGGTGAAAAGCACAGTGGACATCTTTCAGTACACCCAAATGTCCCCACCTCACCTTGTCTCCAGATGCAGCCAGGCCCTAGAAGGTACCCTGTTACAAAGTACACATTAGCTCCACTGCTTACCTGCCCCTTGCCCCCAGGGTGGAATGGGCACATGCACGTCAGACCTTCTTCAACTCTGGCAAGAATAAGACTGCTCTGGAGACCATTGAGCGTGCTGCTTTCTTTGTGGCTCTGGATGAGGAGTCCCATTGCTACAGCCCTGATGATGAGGCTAGCCTCAGCCTCTACGGCAAGGCCTTGCTACATGGCAATAGCTACAACCGGTATGTGCTCCCAGCCTCATGGGTCAGAAGTTAAACAAGTTAATGATTAGAATTAGAGGCTAGGGGTTAGGGCTAGAGGATTTAGATAGGAGTTAGGGTCCTAGGTAGCGTTATTTAGGGGTAAGTTCACTGGTTACAGTCAAGGTTGGAGTTGAAAGTTAAGAATAGTGGATTAAGGGGTTAGAGAAGTAGATCAGCAGTCAAGAGCACTGGCTGTTCTTACAGAAGACCTGGATTCAAATCACAGCACCCACATGACTGCTAACAACTGTCCGTAAGTCCAGTTCCAGGGGATTGAATCCTAGCATCCACATGGCTGCTAACAATTGTCCATAACTCCAGTTCCAGGGGATCTGATGCCCTCTTCTGTCCTCCGCAGGCACTGCACAACATGGGTGCACTTACACACATGCAAGCATAACACTCATACACATAAAATAAAAATAAATTTTTTAAAAAAGTAACATAAGCCGGGTGTGGTGGCACATGCCTTTAATCCCAGCACTCGGGAGGCAGAGGCAGACGGATCTCTGAGTTCGAGGCCAGCCTGGTCTCCATAGTGAATCCAGGCCAGCTGGGGCTACAGGGAGATCCTGTCTCAAAAAGACCAAAAAAAATAAAAAAAAAAAAAGTAACATAATGGATTAAGTTTGGGGCTAGCGATCATGGTTAGAATTGGAGCATTGGTGGTACTTTGTTAGGGTTAGGGTTATAGGTTGGGGGTCCTGTATAAGTTCCCAGGTGTGGGTCATCCCTGTTCTCTTCCTGCAGGTGGTTCGACAAATCTTTCACTCTTATTTCCTTCAAGAATGGCCTATTGGGCCTCAACACAGAACATGCATGGGCAGATGCCCCCATCATTGGGCACCTCTGGGAGGTAACAGACCTGGAGAGGGGACCTCCAGGGCAGGCACTGGCAATGAAGCTGTTTCCCAGCTTAGTTTTTTCCTTGCAGTTTGTACTGGGCACTGATACCTTTCACCTGGGCTACACAGAGACTGGACACTGCGTGGGTGAGCCAAACACTATGCTGGCACCTCCTCAGCGGCTGCAGTGGGACATTCCTGAGCAGGTGTGCAGGCCAGGAAGGGGTAGGTTAGGTCTGAATGAGGATCCCCTGAATTACTCTCCCTGTCCCCACCCTAAAGATTGAAGGACAAGAGCTTCTCAGGACAAGGAAAGCGGAGACCCCAGGGTTATCTGTGGTTAGAGAAAGACAGATTCATGACTCATGTCCATAGAGAACATGATAGTGTCTCCTTCCTCTCTACTCATCCTGGCCTCATGCTGAATCCTCTCAGGTTGTCCCTCATGTCTCCTGAAGCTGTTGGGCTGACTCTACCCTTCATCCATCACTTATCACCTGAACTTCATACCTCCCCAGATCTAGGGCCTCCTTGGGGGGATCTGCTCCCAACTGACCCTTTCCTATGTCTTGGCAGTGCCAGGCAGCCATTGAGAGTTCCTACCAAGTGGCCAAAGCACTTGCAGATGATGTGGAGTTATACTGCTTCCAATTCTTGCCCTTTGGCAAAGGCCTCATCAAAAAGTGTCGGACCAGCCCTGATGCCTTTGTGCAGATTGCCCTGCAGCTGGCTCACTTCCGGGTAGGAGCTTCTGAGGGCTGCTGAGTGTGCAGGGCATTCTCAGGGTCCACCTGCTTAATTCACCCTGCTTTGTACCCCAGGACAAAGGCAAGTTCTGCCTGACCTATGAAGCCTCAATGACCAGAATGTTCCGAGAGGGACGGACTGAGACTGTGCGTTCCTGTACCAGTGAGTCAACAGCCTTTGTGCAGGCCATGATGAAGGGGTCCCATACGGTGAGCCCCCATTTCTTGTTCCTCATCCTCTTTCACCCCCATTCACCTTGAGGGTCAAAGGCAGTCTTCACTCCTTTACTTTTGCTCCCAGAAAGAAGACCTCCAAGATCTGTTCCGGAAGGCTTCTAAAAAGCACCAGAACATGTACCGGCTGGCCATGACAGGGGCTGGGATTGACAGGCACCTCTTCTGCCTTTACGTGGTCTCCAAGTACCTAGGGGTTAGCTCCCCTTTTCTGGCTGAGGTCAGTGTTATTGCTGGGTATGAATTCCATTCCTCTACCCTCAAGCCCAGGAGTAGGCCCTCTTGATGTAGAGCTCGGTGTAATGCCAGCTCACTCAAAATTGCCTTGGAGGACAGGGATGGGTTTCCTACATTACATACCACCCAGGCTTTTAGTATTGTGACTGAGAACTGTTCTTATGGGGACTTTCTTGTGGAAGTAATGTTCTTAATTGTTTTTTACATTTTTAAAAATTTTTATGTGTAGGAATATTATGCCTGCATGTATATAAGTGTACTTTTGTCATGCAATGCTGGTAGAGGCCAGAGATGGTGTTGAATCCCCTGGTACTAGAGTTATAGATAGTTGTTAGCCACCAAGTGGGTTCTGGGATTTGAACCCTGGTCCTCTATAAGAGCAGCCAGTGTTCTTAACTGGCTGAGCCATCTCTCCAGCCCAAAATTAATGTTCTTTTTAAAAATATTTTATTTTAAATTTTTTATGTGTATGCATGTATTGCCTGCATATAGATAAGTGCACCTGTGTTGTGCTGCATGCGGAGAGGCTGTCGGATCCCCTGGAACTGGAGTTTCGGACAGTTGTTAGCTGCCATGTGGGTACTGGGATTCGAACCAGGGTCTTCTGCAGTATTGCCTGCATGTAGGTAAGTGCACCCATGTTGTGCAATGTCCACAGAGGACAGAAGAGGCTGTTGGATCCCCTGGAACTGGAGTTACAGACAGTTGTTAGCTGCCATATGGATGCTGGGATTCGAACCTGGGTCTTCTGCAAGAACATTCAGTGTTCTTAACCGCTGAGCCATCTCTCCAGCTTCCCCAAATTAATGTTCTTATGAGGGGAGATAAATGTATGTTCTGTCAGGTGGTGATAGTACTTTTGAAAAACAATAAAACAAGCTGAGGTCAGGGAGGGGCAAACCAGATAAGCCTAAAGTGGCCAGGGGAAAGTTTATGCAGATGCTGAGGTGTTCAAACAGGCTCTTGGGGACCAAGGAACAGGAGTAGCTCAGGGAACTCCTGCACCACATGTGTCAACTCCTGCACCCTCAAGCAGAATTATGCAGCTTTGTTTTGTTTTGTGAAAGGGTCTTGCTATGTAGCCTTGGCCTAAAACTCACTATATAAATCAGGTTAGCCTTAGACTCGTGGATGATCCTTCTGTCTCTGCTTCTTGAATATTAGGATTACAGATATGTGCCACCACACCCAGCTGATAGTGCCTGCATTGAATAGTTCTCTGGCATCACCACTAGGACAGGTGCATGCTGAATGCCTAATATCTGACAGGTTTCCATCTCCCTGTTATAGGTGCTCTCCGAACCCTGGAGCCTCTCTACCAGCCAGATCCCTCAGTCCCAGATCCGCATGTTTGACCCAAACCAGTACCCGAATCACCTTGGTGCTGGAGGTGGCTTTGGCCCTGTGAGTGCCCCTGAAGGATGGTGGTGGGTAGCATTGGGGCCCTGGGCTTTCAGTTGAGTGCAGAACCTCAACCAAGTGACATGGGCAGGAATACTTTGCTTAGAGAAGATCTTTGTGAATGTAAAATAAGAGCTGTTGGCCCAGGCAGGCAGATAGTAGGACTTACCCATTCCACATGCCTCCCCACTAAAGCATGATCATGCCTAGGCCTGGTCTCCAGGAGACAGGGCAACACACTGGGCTGTTCGAGGTGTGTTCACCTGAGGAAACCAACTCTTTCTCAATGGGACATTCATATGGGCTACTTTGTCAGAAGGCTAGAGACTGCTGCAGAGATGGGGGTAATCTAGAGTATGAGCCCCTGAGAAAATATGAGTCTACACCTCAAAAATAGAACAGCATTCTTTGGAGGGAACAGAAGTTCCAAACTTGGAACCACAGAAGCAACATCCTTTGATTTTTACTCTGTTTCCTGGATTAAGGTTAATCTCAAGAATGTAGGATTCAGCAGCAAGGCCTCCTCCTGTGAAACTTATGGGAAGGGAAAACATATTAGCCTGGTTTTTGGATCTTCTTTGCCTCTTGTCCTCAGGTGGCAGATGATGGCTATGGGGTTTCCTACATGATTGCAGGTGAAAACACTATCTTCTTCCATGTTTCCTGCAAGTTCTCAAGTTCAGAGACAGTGAGTCTTCTTTGCTCCCATTTGGGTGGGCCCAAGAAGAGGTACTACCTGGGGCAGCCGAGTCTGCTTATGGGTACTGAGGGGAGGGAACTGTCCTGAAGGTGTGTCTGAGCTCTCAGTTTCCACAGAATGCCCAGCGCTTTGGGAATCACATCCGCCAAGCACTGCTGGACATCGCTGATCTTTTCAAAATTTCCAAGACTGACAGCTGAAGGCTGGAGAAATACCAGCTGCCCTTTTGTCCCCACCTTGTAAAGGAAAAGGCCTGTGGCCAAATCACAGGCACAAGGGATGTCCATGCACACATGCCTGGTTCTGAGGACAGCTCTGGCAGCAGGTGCTCCCCAGACAGATACTACTCCTTTAGGGCCCAAGTGGAGGTGGGATTGGAGCAGGGAGGGAATTTTAAATTTTTTTTGTCTTGGTAGATACTAATAAAAATAAGGCTGTATAATTCTCTCTTGGCCCATAGGTGCCTATGTTTTGCTAAGAGAACTAGAAGGCCCTCTTCCCATTCCAGCCCAGGCCAGAAAAGTGGCAGAGGAAGGGCTAGGAGAATGTTCATGAGGGCTTGTGACCTGCTTTGAAATGTGTGTCTTTCCTGAATAATGCAGGCTTTGAGAGTGCTATGCTTAATCTTATGTGTACTTGGAATTAATTCTTGCTTTAGAACTTTTACCTGTTCCATGGGGCTACTTCTGTTTATCTGCCAGTGACTGGGGCCTGCCTACTCCCTCCATTCATTGGTATGTTTTCTATACCCCTCTGGGCTGGAGTACTACCCTACAGGCTCTTGGGCATCCCCTTAGACCTGAGACCAGGGTGCCAGGTAATCATGTCTGAGGGACACATCGGATACCATGGATCAGCATGCTCCTTCACTCTCATATACATTTCTGTTGAAGTAATATTAAACTAAGCCAGGCATGGTGGCTCATGCCATGTAGATTTTCCTTCAGCACCATCTGTACTCACCCTTGCGCTTGGGAGGCTGAGGCAGGCAGGAGGATTGCCAGGAGTTCAAGGCCAGTCCAAGCTGCAGAATGAGACCCTTGTCTCCATAATATCAAAAAGAAAAGAGGAGTAAGCCAAAAATAATTGTTTATTATATTACTATAATTGTAGGCACTCAATAATATAGCTCCATCCTTCAATGAATGAAGATTTTTAGCACTCTCCAGATGCTAAGAACCCACAAGCAAATCAGATTTGGTTCTGGGCTATCATTTAGAAACCATGTTTATTGAGCACAAACATGTCTCTATGCTGATATTCAGTAATGAACAGAATACTTTCTGTACCTATATGGAATTCACTACTAGATTAGGCTGACGTGAGCAGGAAGGAGGCAGAGCAACTAATGGACACAAGGCCGCCTTTGGAATGACCCATTTAGCAAATATTTACTGAATGCCTGTAATATGCAAGGCAAGTGATCTAGCAATAAACAAAACTAACAAAAAAAGTTCCTTCCTTTGGAGCTTAAGGACTTTGGTAAGAGATACAGACAATAGCTGAAACAAAGTACATGACACAGTAAGCCAGGTGGAAATAAGTGGTCAGGTGAAGGTAATAGACAAATGCAGGGATGGGTGTAATTTCAGATGGTGTTGAAGGAAGAGTTGTTTTAAGATTTTCATTTATGTGTATATCTCTCTGTGTGTGCCTTGTATGCCAAGGTGCCTGCAGAGGTCAGAAGAGGGTGTCAGAGCCCCTGGAGCTGGAGTTACAGGCAGTTGTGAACCTCCTGATGTGGCTGCTGGGAACTGAACTCAGTTCATCTGTTAGAGAACTGAGTGCTCATAAGCACTGAGCCAGCTCTCCAGTCTAGAACATAGGTCTTAATAAGTGGAGCAGGTAGAACATTCCAGACTAAGGGAACAAGAGCCAAAGGTGTATGGAGAGAGATACCTGCTATGAACGATTAGCATATGACAGTCTGTGGCTGGTGCTAAGGTCAGAGGAGCAGGAGGGGCAGGTAGAACCAGTGATTGGGTGACTAAAAGAGAAATTTAAATTTAATGCTTATAAGAAATATCTGTGAAAGGCTAGGAATGTGACTCATGAGTGCTTGCCTACCATGCATGAAGCTCTGAGTTTGATCTCCACAACTGCATAAACCAAGCATGATGGTACATGTAGCTACAAAGTGAGTTTAAGGCCAGCCTGAGATAGATGCCACTCTGTCAAAAAAACAAAACAAAAAAAACACCCATGGGTAGTGGGTGGTACATGCCTTTAATCCCAGCACTGGGAGGCAGAGGCTGCTGGATCTCTCTGAGATCAAGGCTAGTCTACATAACAAGTTCCAGACCAGCTGGAGCTATAGGGAGACCGTCTCAAAAAAGAAAAACCTATGAAAATGTGTTATAGATTCTTAGACTATGAATTAAAAGCTAAAGAGAGATCTAGACTCAGAGTTTGAAGGTCACTAAAATCTTGAGAGCACATTAGAAGTATTCTAGGGCAGAAGAAGCTAATGTCTTTTGAGTCTCCATGAGCTTATGAAAGTATTAAGTGTTCTCACACAATGTTACATTCCTTATCAGAGCTTTCTTGAGCTTCCAAAATATTTTTACAAACTTCTTTTGCTCATGAGGCCTATGTAACCTCCCCTGAGAAACTGGGTTTCAGTATCGTTTTGGTGACCAATTTGGGGAAACAGTAAATAGAGTTTTGAACAAGCTGGCTTTTAATTACTGTTGAAATTCTGTCATTAAAGTTCTTATATCATGTTTGTTCTTGGTTAAATTAAGTAAGAGCAGATTCTGTAGTGCTAAGCCAGGACAGAATCTCTTGGACCATCCAACAGATCCAAATATACTCCTGTAAGTCCTGTGTATTTCAAAAATCTACATTAGTTAAAACTAGCAGCCTTAATAAACAAATCCTAAAATCCCAGTGGTTTAACCTAATAGAAGTTTACTTCTTACTTCAGATCAGATCCTAGTAGCTGAGAGATCTTTGCTCGATACCATTATTTAATGTCCTAGGCTGACAGAGGCCATAACTGCAGCATTAACATTGAGCAGGTACTTAGGGAACAAGAAAGAGTCATTTGTAGGAGGTTTTGGTGAACCTAGGCTGGAAATGAACACTTCTACCTACATTCCACTGGCCAGTGCTCATACTGCAGGAGAATCAGGCTATGTGCCTAGGATGTAATAAGAACATTGGATGACAGCTGGTCTCAGATACACAAGGGCATAGACATACCAGACAGACATCCTCTAGGCTTCCTGAGAGCCCAAACTCTGCAGGACATTTCAGATAGCACACCTCCATTTGCCAGACAGGGTACTCAGGACCACTCATATTCCACTTGAACATAACTCCTGAGTTTCCTCTTCATTTCCCCAAAGTAACAGACTCATCCACACCTTTTATCTTTGCTCCTGCCTGGAATTCTGGTCCCTTTTTCCCAAGGCTTTGAGTTAATCCTATTTATGTTTTTTGCGGGGTGTTGTAACAGAAGTCAGTGCTGGGCTGAAAGGACAGCCAGAAAACCAGCTTCAGAAGAGGGAGGAGCCTAACAGTTTATGGAAGGGATGTGGCCCAAACAACAGTCTCCTCAGTAATAAATGAATAAATGCTCACTGTATCCAGAACTGTTTGACTCAACCTCAGCTGTTTCCTCTTCTGGCAACGTGTGTGCTATGGATGAGAAGCTCAGAGAAAACTCTGTGGGTCCTGGGTTTTTATTTAGTGTCCAAAGTTAATTCTAAACTGAATTGTCTCCCTCTTATCTCAGTCTGTGGTATCATCACCTTCCAATCACTGACATATTTCTCCCACACCGCCTACTTACTCCTTACTACTACTCTCCACACCTTACTAGACCCTGTCAAATCTACATGGCTTTTGACTGTTTCCCTCCTCTGTGACCCTGCTTTGCTTTGTCCACACTTCAATCATTACCCAGTCTGCTTCATCTCCATCCTGCTGCCAGTAGCCAGCCAGAAGGTCATTTTAACCATTTTACTCCTCTGACTACACTCCCTGGACAAGACGTCCATGGTCTCTGAATAAAGATCAATTTGGATTAGTCTTCTGTCTAGCCTCTTCACAACTAGAGCTTTATGCTGTTGGCCCATAAGTTCTAGGTGACTTGTTACTTGCTTGGTCATCTATGGACTGTACCAACTGGATACAGGAGCACTTCAGGGCAGACCTGGGTTGAAACGTGCACAGTACTTCATCTGAGTATACCTGTGTGCTATTACCCCTGCCTCATAAGGCCTTTGCTTTCTCTGTATGGCAATTGCAACATCAGTCACACAAGAGTCTTGACAATTAACAAATGTTTAAGAGTATCTTCTGTGCCAGGTGTCCTGGTTACTTAGGGTCACAGTGATCAGAGAGGGCCCTACTTGATAACCATACACAGAAGCATGTAAAAAAAGCAACAGTTAAGAGCACTGGCTGTTCTTGCAAAAGACTTAGGTTCAAATCCCAGCACCCACTTGATGGCCAACAACTGTTCTAGGGTACCCAATGCCCTCTTCTGTCCTCCCCGGGTACTGCAGGCACATGTGCAATTACATACATGCAGGCATAACACTCACATGAAATAAGAATAAATAAAAGTTAAAAACCAACAAAATTGTCAGGCACTGGCAGCTGTGGGGAGGGTGTGAGCAGGGAAGAGGCAGCTTAGGGCTCCCTGGTTTCTAGTCTATTCGCGTCCAACCGCTGGCCCACAGCCTACTGAGGCCCCGCCCCTTCGGCCCCGAAGGTCAGCCGAGGTCGGTGAAAGGCCAGTTCCGGAGGCGGGACTGGTAACGGAAAGGGGCGGGGCGTCGCTCCCAGGAGTCCCTCCTTCCGCTCCCGCCGCGTGAGCGGCAGAGCTGACCAGATGAGCGGAGCGTGGGCCCAGCCGGAGGTGAGCGAGGCCGGCGCGCCCTGGGGCCCGACTTTCCGGCACGCCTGAACCTTAGGGACATTTGGACCCCGGGTCGGGGTCCCGGGCGCTTCCCACCGCCCCACTTGAGAACCTTCAACGTTGTTACTCGCCCCTTACGCCGTGGCCCTCTCCCGACCTGTCACTTCTGGCACCCACCTTTCACCTTAATCCCTTCGCCCTAAAACGCAGGCGACTCCCCTCGTCTCTTTACCTCACAGCCTCATATTCCAGCCCTCGGGCTCCTCTTCCAGCGCCTCCCCCAGCCTCCTTATCCCACCACCTGAGCTCGCTCCCCTGATCTCCTTCCTCGCCCCACACTCCAGATGCCTCCCCATCTCCTCACCCCACACCCTCATCTCCCCTCAGCTTCCTCAGCCCACTCTCCAGTCTCCCTCCCAGCATCTTACCTCACACACAGGCCCTGAGGCTTCTTACCCATAGCCTTGGCCCCCAACCCGCACTCTACTCATCCCATACCCCGAATGCCCTCTCCTCAGTCTCATCTCTCCACACCCTCAACCTCACCTCATTCTCCTCATCCCACAACCTAACCCTCCTCTCCTCACATCGTAGGACCTTTCCCCTCAGACTCCTCTCCCCTCACCCCAAACCCCTGCCCTAAGTCCCTCGGTCTCCTCACTGCACACTAAGATCCTTGCTCACAGTCTCCTCACTGCACACCCTAAACCTGCAGAATTCTTACCACACACCCCAAAACTCCTGTCCTCAGTCTCTCCAAACATCCTCCTCCATCGTACCCCACACTCCTGTCTTCCTGCTCTCAGCTCCTTAACCCACACCCTAGATGTCTCCTCCCCGTCTCCTCACCCACTCCTTAAGATCCTTCCCTCTCAGTCTTCTCATCTAACGTCCTCCACAACAGTCTCCTCACACTACCGGTCCCAGGTCCTGAACTCTGCTAGACTTATCCCACGCGCCCCTTCTCATCCTCACCAATCCCAGTCCCTGAATACTACTAACCCTGAGATGTTCTTCATGTACCTCAGCTCTCACACAAACATGCTGGATCTACTTCCTAGATTCATCAATTTCTGAACCCCAAAGTCATGTGGCCACAGCCTCCGTCTAGTTGTTTTATGCTCTATCCTCCAATCTACCTGCTCCTCCATTTATAGAAATACGTATTTTTTAGGTTTTTATTTATTTTTATTTTATGTGTATGAGTTTTTTGCCTGCATGTATAAGTGCATCATGCCTTGCAATGCCGGAAGAGGCCAGAAGAGAGTGTCAGATCCCCTGGAACTGAAGTATAGACAGCTTTTCCCGGCACCTTGAATTTATACTTTTGGCTTTATTTTTTTTAACATTTCCAGAATCTAGCCACTTCTCACTACTTTAATTTCTAACGTTGTGGTCCAAGCCCTATCACCCCTTAACCTGAGTGGGATTTTTTGTCACCCTCCAAACTGATCATCCTGCTCCACCTTCTCCATCTTTAGTCTATTCTCAACATTGTAGCTACAGAGATTCTTTTAAGTAATCAAGATATTTCACACCGGTTAAACCCCCTGAATGTCACCTCATCTCAGAATAAAAGCCAAAGTTCTACATAAATACTTGCCATAACTTAATAATCTCCTAACATCCTGTCCTCCATTCCACTCCAACTTTGTTAGCATTCTTGCTCTTCCTCAGCCACGTCAAGCCACCCTGAGCTTCAGGGCTTTTGTTTTTGCTGTTCCTCTGTTCTGAACTCTTCCCCACCCCCCAAGATATCCACAGGACCCGTGGACTTACATGTTCATTTTCTTCTAGTCTGTTTCAAATTTTTACCTAATCAGAGGAGTCTTCTCTGACCACAACATATGGAGTGGTTCCTCCTGCTCAGTTAGTCTTCTACCCTACTTTATTTTCTCCTTAGCACTTATCATCACCTGATATTTAATATATGTGCATTTTAAGTATGCTTTCCCTGACTAAAATATAAATTCCATGAGAATAGGGATTATTATATTTTGTTCATGAATATCCTAGCACCTAAAATGCACAGCATCCAATGGTTATTTGTTGACTAAAGGAATTAGTTGACTACATCCTCTCTTCTCTTGGCTTTAAGTATGCACTGCATAGTTCTCTGCATTTCTGACTGCATATCAGTGTGCTTTTTCCTTCTGCTTATTTACTTAGAGTTGGGGGTCCCACGTTAGTCTCAAACTTGTGATTCTCCTGTCTCAGCGTCCTGAGCAGCTGGGATTACAAACACATTCTACCACATTAGCTCCTGTTCTTTAAATGCGGATGTTTTTCAGGCGTCCTCCCTACTCCATTTTCTTTTCTCCCTTTAGACACTCACTGTGAATGATACCTCTTCCCACATTTTGGGAAGAAATTATCTGTACAATGGTGAGAAGAATGTGAAGATAATATCAGTCAATTCTTGTTTACATACATTAAGCATGGACTATATGTTTACTTTTAAGTTATTTGTATCTCCACCCAATTTCTATTCCACTTTTTTTTTTATCTAATGTTTCATTTATGTCATGCTATGGTGGTTAATTTCTGTTGTCAACCTAATTGAAATAAGCAACATGTAGGCCATTAATGAGGCATACCTTTGGATGTGACTGTGAGAGTGTTTTTAGAATGGTTTAACTGAGGAGGGAAGACCACCCTGAAAGTGGGGAGCACCATCCAATGGGTTGGAGTCCTAGACTCAGTGAAAAGAGAAAAAGAAGAAAGCTTGCTGAGCACCGGCATTCCCTTGTCTCTACTTCCTATTCAGTACAACGGATCAAGCTGCTCCCACGACTGTACCTTCCCCACTATAGTGGACTGCATTATTCTGAGCCCAAATAAACCCATTCAAACAAAAATTTTAAAAATAAAATATAAAATGAAATAAATTCTTCTTCCCTTAAGTTGCTTTTTGTCAGGTATCTGGGTTCCAGTTATGAGAAAAGTAACTAATACAAATGCCCACTATTTAATTTGATAAACTTGAGTGACAACTATATACCAAGATGTGTATATATCTAGGATAACCTTCGAAGAAGCTATAATCTCTATTTTAAATAAGAAACTGAGATATAATGAAATTAGATGACTTTCCAAGGTCTCACAGTCAATAACTAAAAGAACTAGAATTCCAGCCCAGGCTTTTGGGTTACTCAGAATTTTCAGTCGCTTACTGCATTCTCAATCATGTGTTCATCGGAATTTATTGAGCAACAGCAGACTATTGTATGAGAGCAGACTGTAAGCCAGACTTAACAGGACACTATTCTTGCCAATGTATGCATTTGCCCTCTGGACTTGAATAATTCAGCTAACTTCTCTGAGCCTTGTTTTCATCATCTGCAAGTTGGGATAATAGTAATACTCCCCTTAATAGGCTTATTATAAACACTAAAATGCAGGGCTGGAGAGATGGCTCAGCGGTTAAGAGCACTGGCTGTTCTTGCAGAAGACCCGAGTTGGAATCCCAGCACCTGTTGGATCCAGTTCCAGGGGATCTGACAGCCTCTTCTGTCCTCCATGGGCATTGCATGACAGGGGTGCACTTACTTACATGCAGGCAATACACTCATACACATAAAATTTAAAAAATAAACAATATTTAAAAATAAATAAACACGAAAATACTCATACCCATATTTGCCTAGAAGTAGGTACATAAACTATGGGGTTGTAAAAGAGGCGTGAACTGATGTTTGGAGTAAAAAGACAGAAAAAGTAACCATGGAATTGAGTCTTTCTAAAAAGGGGGTGGGAACTGGACATGGTGATGCATGCCTTTAATCCCAGCGCTCGGGGTAGAGGCTGGTAGTTCTCCATGAGATTAAGGCCAGCCTTGTCTACATAACCAGTTCCAAGCCAGCTGGGACTACAGAGAGACACTGTCTCAAAATAAAAAGAAAAAAAGGGAGGGGGAGGGTGTTTCAGGCAATGGAATACACACACATCATAGGGGGAAGAGAGAACATAGTATTTTTAGTCTTTAAATAGCATTGACATCAGGGCCATTTTACATGAAATGACTGATTTAAAATTGAGCGAGAACATTTGGATGAATAGCTATTGCTTTTCAGAGAATCTTGTTTTACGACAGGTTTCTTTCTTTTTTTTTTTTTATCAAAGTGATTTATTTGATGAATAGGCCCTGTGCTTATTTTTTCAGTCCCAATCTTCTTTAGCTTCTCTGTTTGTTAGATTCTCAACTTTACCAATTGATGTTATAGGACTGAAGCATAGTGTCTATAAAGGGTGTCTCTAGATGTTGCTTAATATGAGCTTGATGCCTTTAAAGGTACTTTTAGACAGAAGACAATTTGAATATTTACATAGGCTTTTTCTTTTTGTCTGCTTTGTTTTGTTTTATTTTCCTTTTTCGTTTTGTTCTGTTTTGTTTTGTTTTTTTCTGAGGAAGGGTGTCCTGTAGCTCAGACTGGCTTCAGATTCACTGTGTAGCTGAGAATGAGATGGTCTCAAACTCCTGATCCTTCTCCCTCTACCTTCCTAGGGCTGAGATTACAGGCATATGCAACCATGCCTGAATGCTTCAACTTTTTAAGTTAACATTTATGCCAAGAATAGTAGTATATGCCTATAATCCTAGTACTTGAGAGGTGAGGCAGGAGGATCAGGAGTTCAAAGTCATCCTCACATATACAGGAAGTTTGAGGCCAGCCTGAGCTACAGGAGATCCTGTCTCAAAATAAACTTTTAAATCCACAGTAAACAAATTGACATTCACTTTATTAAAGTTTAAATTATTTTATGTGTATGAGTGTATTGCCTGTATGTATATAAGTGTATCTGTGTCATGTAGTGCCCACGGAGGTCAAAAGAGGGTGTCAGATTCCCTGGAGCTGGAGTTACAGACAGTTGTTAGCCATCATGTGGGTGCTGGGACTCTAACATAGGTCCTCTGTAAAAGCAGCCAGTGCTCTTAACTGCTGAGCCATCTCTCAAGCCCATCATTTAATTAAAATTTAAAAATCCAATATTGTCGCATG